CTCTGTTCGCTAACCAGACATTGCTTAACTTGGCTTGAACCTATCAGGATTCTCTGACACTTAAGCTAGATAATTAGTTTACAGATATTATTAGAAAGTAAAATTATTTTCATGCTTGATTTTTGATTTTTACATTTTAAGAGGTCTGAATTATAATATAGTTTTAATAATGTTTACGTTTTCTAGATATATTTCTGATTATTACAGCAATACTTGATCTGTGCTAATTCTTAAACCCAATAAAATATGAAAGTATTTTTATAGATATAATTTTTTGACTTATCGCATTTATAAGCTAAGGCTATCCTATTTAGACATCTTACAGTAATCAGGATATGCATGTAGGACATTATTATAAACTGCTGCATAATTATTTGTCGTCATTTTTGCATGTCTTTGTTTTTTTATTGCCTTCTCTGGCAGCATGGTGCAAAGAATTAGAATTATCTCCTTTGTGTGAGAAAGGCAGATTTCCTGTTACTTGTTTTGCTAACTGATTATGTTTGCTTTTAACTATGTGAGAACTTGCTCTCATAATTATTTGATTGAAGGAAAAATTCCTGCTTTATTTAAAGCAATCTTCTGCAAAGTAATCATAGCAGCTTTAAAGAAAATCATTATGAAATTATACTTGAAGTTCACCTTCCTATTTTCAGATTAACTCAAAAAGAAAAAAAAAACCCTAACCACTTCAACTTTAGGTGACAGCATCTACAAGTCCAGGGGTAGGCAACCTTGGCTTTTTTATAACTCGTGGACTTCAACTCCCAGAATTCCTGAGCCAGCATGGCTTAGCTTGGAAACCTCTCCCTGTCCCCTCAGCATGGCTGGCTCAGGAATTCTGGGAGTTGAAGTCCACGAGTCATAAAAGAGCCAAGGTTGCCTACCCCTGTACAAGTCTATGAACTATCACCTGTCCAATATACTGACAAAAAGAATAGCACCCTTTCTTGCGTTTTGACAAAACTGCAACTACTATGCAGAGTTCTTGCTCTAGAGCAAACATGTCAAACTGTGACGTGATGTCGCGTGACGTATCTGGACTGTTTTGCCATTGCCGGCAATGGGGTGGGTGTGGCTTCCACATGACACCCCTGCTTTAGAGCAAACAGGAGATGTGAAAAGACAGAAATGTACAAAAGCTCCATCAAACATTCATAATAGTACAGTCACATTTAATCAGGCAACACTCTAAAAGTGCAATTTGTAGAATAGCAGATAAGAGTTTACATATACTCCTTGTGTTACATATTTTCACAATAAAGCAAAGTAATTAAAATGTGACTATTTCAGTATCACTTCTCGTCATTTTGCTCTAAAATTCTTCTTCAAAGACAAAGGCATTCATTCAGTTGTTCAAACATAATACAGATTCCAGCACTTACTTGATGTAATGAATTTTTCTTGAGACTATAGATGGAAAATCAACTTCAAAGTATTTCAAAGGAAGAAGATTCTCATCCTGAAAAGGGAGGAAAACAGATAAGTTCCAATATTTTCACTGAGGGCAAAAGAAACATCCCATAACTTTGCTTTAAGTTTCGACTTTTGTGACTGCTAGGCTAGGATTCTGGAGTCACAGTTAGACATGTCTTTCTTCTGCTCATACTATATTCCTAAACCTAATCCCCCACCTATACTAAGCAAAAAACTGGAAAAAAGATGGAAGCAATGACCCAACCCCCAATAATTTGCTTGAGAGATGGTTAGATGGACTGATTTATCCTCTTCCTGGCAATTCTATTCAAGATCATTGATTTACTAGTAAGAGAAAAAGTAGACAGACTTAAAGGAGCGGAGTTTTTTACTATCATATGCACTCTGTAGATCATGAAATGCTCAGCCATGTCCAAGCGTAGTGGCTGCAAGTTATTTTCTAGAAACCATTTTCATTGATACACACCAACAAAATGCTTTGTAAGTTACAGAGTGTCCTATGAATTAGAACAAATAGCTGAATTCTCTGGAATATAAACCACACTTACATTGTTTTGCTGTAAGATAGAAATCTGGTATCCTTAAGATATTTTGGACGGCAAGCCCCATAATCCTTTGACTTCAACTATATTGGATGGAGTTGATGACAGTTGACATCCAAACTATCTACAGGATACCAGTTTGCCTAACTTCATTATATAATCAACAAAGGTGGAAAAAACCAAAATCTTTAAGAAATTATAATTAGAGATCACACTTGAGGTAATATTATAAGTTATTTCACCTTTAATTTCCAAAACAGAGTATCCATGCCAGCACCAAGATTTATAATTTGGCAATTGCATTTTGTCTTTTCTAAGAAAGCCTTAAGTAAACGACCAACTCCCTGGACCCGTGCATAATACCCTTAGGGGGAAAAAAAACAATTAGTGGACAAATTTTAGCTTTGAAAACATTTGAAAATAATTTTGCTAGTTAGCTCCCATCCACCACCCACCTCTTCTGTTCTTCCTTTTGCCATATGTTCATGAAGCAAAACAAATTGCCCCACACATATTTGTTTATAACCTACCACGGCTGATTTCAGGTGCCTTCCTTTCTTTTGGATGGCTTACAAAATATTCAATGTAAGGGTCATTCCAGTAACCAACACTTACAGCATATCTGACCACAGAAAGAAAAACAGTGTTTTAACAAATTCCTATTCCATTCAAAACAAAATTCTACCCTATATGAGTATCAGTCTAAATTAGAAAAGTAGATCTTATCCACATTAAATAAATTAGGCTAATTCATACTATGATTCCATGTTTAAAAGATGGCAAAGAGCCTCTTCAAAATATTTATGAATATTTTCAGAAGCAGCTGCTGGTCTGAACAGGCAGGTAGGAGTGGAAAACTGTGGACTATCAATTCTAGAAGAAAACCACTGGATGAAAAACCAATTTTGTACATATCTGGATGCAAGGAGAGCTAGCACAATAGGATTAGGTAAAATACACGTTCATGGCAGAAATCAATTATTAAAGCATCCCCCTATAAATATGTACCCAGCCTCTGTTTAAAAACATTAAGTGGGGTGCCCCAAAACATGGCACAATACTTGAGGCTATAAGTGCTACTAATCAAGGATAGAATGATTACTTTGTGGAACTATGATTTGGAACATACAAAAATCCCTTAACTGATGCTGGCTGAAAGTACTCTTCTCAATTTGGCAACCAATTCATGCTGTTTATTTATAACCAACTTGTGATCATCTACAATCCTAGTGCCCCCAATACAAATAATAATAAAAGCTCTTCTAGATGGCTGGAGAAAAAGTAAAGACCCTGCGGTCCAAATCTCCCTCCAGCCCTTAAGCTGGAGTTCGCTCTTCTCAAGCTGGGGACGGGAAGGGCCAAAGCACCCTGAGCATCCCTTGGAGGAAAGGCAGGCTTGTAAATGAAAGGGAGCAACCCAGTAAGTAAGCTACAGGCGTCCCGGGGCTCCTGCTGCAGTTTCTTGTTCATTCGGCCCACTCGACAAGCGGCTGTTTTGCAGCTGGCACTTCCCAGGTGTCCGGGAACAGGGCGACGGGCGCAGGTGTCGCCTCAAATCGGGGCCTCCTTCAACCGCAACTGATCGAGCTCCCAGAAGGCGCTAAGCGGGATTCTAACCCCCGTGGCTGGAGCCTCGGGCCTACAATCTCCTCGGGCTCCGTGGGCTACTCTCAGGGGGGCTCTGGGACCCCGCCCCCCGGCTAGCCTTTCTTCCTGAGATTTCCTAGTGGTCTTCCATCCCGGCCCGTTCGGTGCCCCAGACTCGGCTAGGCGCCACGATCGCTTCCCCGATTCAGCGGGCCGCGCCAGGCCAGAGAGCCCCCCCCCGAAAGCCCCGCCCGCGCCCTCCCCGCGCCGCTCCTTCACCGCTTGCAATGGGAGGCGACGTCGCAGGTGTTCCGCACGGCCTCGTCGAAGACGTCGGTGCCCAGCAGGTCTCGGGAGGGGCCAGCCATGGCCGGCGCGGGTGCTCAGCGGAGAGGCGCGGGAGAGGAGCGCGGGCCGCCCATGCCGGGCCGAGGCCGCCGAGCTCCCCTCAGAGCGCGACGTCGCCGGCACCGGCCAGCAACGCGCTCCCCCATTGGCCGGGCCAGGAAGCGTTCTCCCCGCCCCTTTCTCTTCCTATTGGCGACGCTATTGCCGACACCCAATCAAAGGCGATACGCGCCTTATTGCGTGTGGTGAGAAAAGCAAAGTACGCCGGGAATTGTAGTCCTTCGCTGAAAGGGGAGGTATTGTCCGCTAGAAGGCGGAAAGAGCCCCTCGGCATCATGGGAATTGCAGTCTTACTCGCGAGACTATCGAGAAAGGGACCCAACGCTCCGTGTATGTGGGGATCCGCGTGTTGCTCGTTTCCCACGATCGGCTGGCCGGCAAAAGAGCCCCGGCCCTGGGGAGTCCCCCATTTGCGTCATCCAGTCACATTTATATACTGTAGTGTATATAATATTATGTTGGTGTTTCTCAACCTGAACAACTTTAAGATGTATAGACTTCAACTTCCAGAATTCCCCAACCAGCTTGTGAGTTAAAATCCACACATTTTAAGGTTACTCGCATTAAGAAACACCATATTACAGTATAATATATACATGAAGTTTCGCAAATCCCCTCCCACCCTGCTGAACAAAACTTTTTTTAAAGGCTTTTCAAAATAACAGGGTCGCAGTTGGGCTGACCCACAGGGCAGGTGGGGGCATGTAACTGGGATACTGGAAAACAATTAGAGGGTTCAATGATCCCTCAAGACTGCCAATTCTGTGCTTGGAAGACTGGCAGGAGGAGAGTGCTGTCTAATGGGACAAATATATTGTTGGTGGGGGGAAGCATCACCACTCCACCTGGGAATCTTTCAGGGCTGTTTCCTGGAAGATTCCCAGGTGGAGTGGTGATGTTTCCACCCATTAGACCGCAAGCACTCTCCTTCTGCCTGTCTGCCAAGCACAAAACTGAGAAGCATTCCACCCCTTTCTCTTTCTAGCTGGAATGACTGAAGAAGACCAATAAACCTACATATCTCCTGGCAGAGTGGCACAAGAGAGCCTGTTTGGTGTAGTGGTGCAGGTGCTGGCCTAGGAACCAGAAGGGGGTGAGATTCAGGCCTCCTTTAGGCGGGAAAGCCAGCTGGGTGACTTTAGCCAGTCCTGCCTCTCAGTCTAAACTAGCTCATATTGTTGTCACTGGGGGGAAAAAGAGGAGGAAGGAATATTTCATCAAGTCCAACAGGAGACTGACGTTGCATGTCCTGTCTGTCATTCCATCTGGCAGGAGAAAGCAACATCCTACCCTCCCCGCCTCCCCCACCCCTTTAGCCCATCCAGCCACGTAGTTATAACCCCGTTTAACGCCTTCTGTGAGCTCGATCAGTTGCAGTTAAGGAGGCCCCGATTTGAGGCGACACCTGCGCAGGTTGTCTTGTTCCCGGTCACCTGGAAAGTGCCAGCTGTAAAATAGATTTTCCAGCAACTCTGTAGATCTATGGAGATTCTGCAGGGTGGCTGCAGATGTTAGGAGACTTATTTTCTCACAATCTTTTTGTAACGTGCTTTTATTTTTATTCATGTTGCAGAATTTTAAAGATACTATTTTAACTGTTATTCTGGTTACACACCGAGATGGACACCTATGGTATATACATTTGCTAAATAAACACTTTACAATGGTTAACTGAAAAGGTCCCATGCAACCTGCCTGTGCAAAACCAGCCTGTCTCCCCTCGCATCCCAATTTTTGGAAAGATTGGTTAACTGGCTAATGGGGCTCGGGGGGGGGGCGATCCCTCCCCTCCCCCCGCCTAGGATGCTGCCTCCCCCTCCGTCATGCCGCAAGGGCGAGCGACGCTCGGTCAGAAACGGTCGGAGGAGCAGGTGCCGCTTGGGCAGCCAAGACCCGTCCCCCCACCTCGATCCGACAAACAGACGGGCTCTCCGTCCCAGGCACGGCAGCGCAACTCCCGCGCCAACGAGAAAAAGCGCTCCCGGGACGTGGGAGGAATGTGCCGCCGGCCACACTCTTCCCTTTCCTAGCTCTAGACTCCAAAAGCACCGGACGCGGCCTTTCTGCCCTTTCGCTCTCTATGATGCTGACGGCATTTCCGGGCGCCGCCCTGTGCTCCGGAGCAGGCAGACAGGCAGGGCGGGCGGTGACGCGCCGGCAGCCGGAAGTCGCGGCGTCTTCCGGTGGGGCCGTGAGGTGGAAGCCGGGTCTGCCGCTGGCGAGGCGGGCCGGGAGTCGCGCGCGGGCGGCGCGGTAAGAGCGGGGCAGCGACGGCACCGCCACCATGAAGAAGCAGTTCAACCGCATGAAGCAGCTGGCCAACCAGACGGTGGGCAGGTGAGGGCGCGGGGGCCGAGCCCGCGCCTGTCTCCCCTCCGCCCCGGGACAGGCCGGGGGCCCTTCTGGGCTGGGCTGGGAGCACGGGCCCCGCCTCCAACCCCAGGCCCGGCAGGAGGCTTCGTGCCTTCCTCCGGGGCTCGAGACGTTGCTGTGGGAAACCGAAGAAACTTCGACCCCTCGGGCTGGTCTCGGCAGATCCCTGCAGGGAGGCTCCTTTTGGCAGGGAGGCCGGTTCGCGGGCGGCCTCCCTGCCTGGTTTGGCCCTGCCTGCTTCACCCAGTTGGGCGGCGTTGCCCTTGGGGAGCGAAGTGGGGAATCCTCGCCGGGCTTCGAGCAAACCAGGCTGAATGGTGGCTGGGTAGTTGGAGGGTTGGTGTGTCGTGCAGAGAGGTTGGAAAGGAGAGCAGTGGGGGAACATCCAGTAGAAATTATCCTGTCCACCGGGGTTGTACTTAGTTTATCTGCCTTCCAATTGTGTATCTAGCAGGTGATTATTCTGCCCTTTTTCGGTATTTGTTCACTCAGGAAAAAAAGTCATAAGGGTTGCTCTGCTAAATTGTGTCCAAGGTCTTTTAAGACTTTAAATGCACTCGAGTCTCTTAAATGAAAGAGCCTAAGGTATTATATAAAGTTGACCAATTAGGGGCATCTTGGGCTGCATTATGGGCTAGTGGTTTTTCAAAGCATGCGCAGAACTCATCATTGCAACTATCAATTTAGAGATAATTAGGGTTCGTGTATTGACTGTGGGGCAATTAACAAATGCATTCTATAATTAGTTGCAATCATTTTATTAGAGTCATCTGCTAAACAGGACTTTAAACCCACCGAAACCTGTGGTCATACTATGTTACTGTCAAATATTTCATTTTTATTTCAGAAAACACTTGAGCTGGGTAGTCTTATTTCCATCTTCAGTTTCCTGTAGCACTGCAGAATATTGTGTATTTCCTCCTTCCAGTATTTCAGTCTGCTTGAGTAGATAGATTGTTAAATACAGAAATCTAAATTAGAGGAAGTGGGAAATGTGTGGACTTGGATGCCTTGAGTTGACCTCTTTTAAATGGAGAGAGCCAGATTGATGTAGTGGTAAAGGCCCCATGTAGAAACCGGGAGACTCAGTTCTAATTCTGAATTAGGCACAGTCAGCTGGATGACCTTGGAGTAGTCCCTCCTGTCTCTGAGTTAGAAAGGAGGCAGCCAGGCAAGATGCTTCCAAAAATGTTGCAAATAAAACTACAAGGACTTCTTCAGACAGCTGCCAAGTGTTCAATCTGTATTGAAGGTGTGCACGCACACACACACAAATAGACAATGTGCCTATAACACAGATAGCACCTGGCCTAGTTTGAAAGAATCAGACCTGATTAGTACTTGCATGGGAGATAATCAGGAAACCAAGCCTTTAAACTAGATTGGAAACCTAAAGAAAGAGGAAAGTTTAAAGAGTTGGGCACCATTTTAAATTTGACTAATAAGCAAAATAATGGCAATCTCTTGCATGTAAATCATGTTGAAAATAATCAGGACTTACTAAACCAAATCCTGCTTTCAGTGCACTAATTGCTTTTAGATAAGACTTTCTTTCTCAGCCAAATTGAAGATAATATTTAAAGAATTTATATGGCTGCCTAACTCAAACAATGGGACTCTGGGCTGCTTACAAGAGGAAACAAACCAAGATAAAAGCAACTGAGCAGGAAGGGGTGGGGGTGGGAACAATCATTCCAAAGGACAGGTGCCTCTTTCAGGTCTTAGTAGGTTTTAAGGAAGGGACCCAAAATGTGCCCACCTTATTAAAGCATGAAGACAAGCATATGGCCTTGGGGAGAAGTGATAAATAACCTGGGTCTAAATAGCTTACAAAATATAACACTACTATATGAAATAATTTCAGTGCTATGAGTTCCTATATAAATAATTATTTACAATTGGTGTTATAGTTAATCAAAAGTATTTCAACAATAGCAGTCTAATTTGTAAAAAGCTAATAATATAGCAATTTAGAAAGTTTCCAAATAGTAAAGTACAGATAGTCCTTGACTTACAACAGTTCATTTAGTGACCGTTTACATAGCGCTGAAAAAAGTGACTTATGACCATTTTTCACACTTATGACCATTGCAGCATCTCCATGGTCACATGATCAAAATTCGGATGCTTGGCAACTGTCATATTTATGATGGTTGCCATGTCCCAGGGTCATGTGATCACCTTCTGACAAGCAAAGTCAATGGGGAAACCAGATTCACTTAAGAACCATGTTACTAACTTAACAATTGCAGTGATTCACCTAACAGCTGTAGCAAGACAGGTCATAAAATGGGGGAAAATTCACTTAACAACTGTCTCACTTAGTAAGAAAAATTTTCAGGTCAATTGTGATCGTAAGTCAAAAACTACCTGTAGTTATATTACCTTAATACAGATAAAAGGGCTAATACTGATAGCCCTGTTGAGAAGTGATGGAGTAGGAATTTGAGGCAGGGACATCTTGCTCCAGACTTCAGTCTCTCTGTCACTTTCAGATTAGTGGAAAGGGTAATTTTACTACCTCCTGCCAGTTGTTTTTCTGTTTTACAAGTCATATGGTCTAAACTGAGAACCTACCTTGAGAGTTTGAATATAAAATGAAATTTAAATTGAATACATGTTGAAAATATACGAATGCTACCGATACATT